GTAGATGCCTCAAACCTGCCTAGAAATCCAGAATGTAAAGGTGTCAAATACCTTTACGTTCCAATTGTTGATAGTGAAACTGCAAATATCCTACAACATGCTGATGATGTCGTGCGGTTTATTGAGGAAGCTAGAACGAATGTTAGTTGACATTTTCTTATTACCTGTTTTTTCGCGTTCGCTAGTTTTTCAGGTCAGTGTTCATCAACTTTTTTTTGGCCGTTTCAGTCTGTCTTAAGCAAAAATTTTGCCGTCCTTACCCACTCGTATCGTTTTCTTTTCGGCTTCTTTGAGAAATCAAGTTGGACATTTATTTTTTTTTAGTGCTTGAAATGTTACTTAGGAAGATTGGAGCTTAGCGAAACTCGGCTATAAATCTTCCACAGCCAGCTTCGCTTGAAGCATATGGTTTCGGCGTAACTAGTAACATATTTATTTTTCAGTTGCTATTGAAATGCAGTTTAATGCATTGAGCAAAGTTGAAGAAAAAATCACTGTAAGGGTTAGGTTTCTGTAATGGACATTTCTGAATTTACCATTTTCCTCAAATAAATAATTAAATAAATAAATAATGTTATATTGACTTTATTACGGGTTGGAAAGCACAGAATATTTATGTGTATAAATTGACAATGCGCCAGCAAATATATTTTGGCAAGTTGACTTCACTTTTGGTTTTTTTTTTTTGGTTGTGGCAGTAAAACTGTACAGTGTTTGAGCTTGCAAACTAGTTATAACGCTCATAGTCTTTTCGTTTATTTAAATGAAAATATATGCGCATTTCGCTTACATTAAAGGTTTTACTGTCTGATGTTTGGTCTTTGAGAGATTGTTTAAGTTCTTGTCATTGTATATGAAACATTTTTTCAGTGTTTTTAGACGTTTTCAATGATTGAAGTTTATAGAGCCGCTAGTTGTTAAATATACAGAGGAAATTGGTATCAATCTGATGTAAAAAAGTTATAAAAAAGTTGAAAAGTAAAAGCGTTTTCGCAAAAAGTGAAAACTTTATGAATCATTCCTGTCATATTCCCAGTTTCCTTTTTTTTAGGGAACCGGATGTTTTAAAAATTTTGGCACGTTAGTATTTCAAAAAATTATTTTTGTGAAAAAAAATTATATAGGAAATTCCTGCTGTATTCAAAGGAATGTTCGGTCAGTTGAAATTACTTTTTTTTTCACTTATTAAACTTTGAAAATTTCTTATTTTTAAATTTTAAGCTTTCTCTTTATTTTATATGAACTGTTGTAATGAGTGTTCTTGCAAATTTGCAAGAAAAAAATATGTTGTTAACAGGTTATCAAGAACATAAAGCGGTAAAACATTTCTGGATATGCTTTTTTCTTCACTACCCGATTGATTTCGATCGAGGGTAAGGTTTTAATAAATACTGAAGAGTAAACAGCAGATCATAGGTTAGTGAAACTGATAAAACGTCAGAATTTTCAATAATTGATGTTTATTCTTAGCTTTGCCTGAGCCACAGAGCAAGTTTGGGGTCTTTTAGTCAGGAATGAAATAAATGTTGCGACATCTTAATTTGTTGTTTCGTTCCTAACTTTAGTTAGCAAAATTATTACCTGAATTCTGTTTCTCTTTGAGAATCCTTTTTTGTTTTGAAGTTACTCAATCGAAAAATTTCTTTGTTTAGAAAATCAAACAGTTCTTAAAATTTTGATGTGAAGATTAGCGAAAATGTTGCTACACATAATTCACAAAATTTTTTTTTTTTTCGAAACTTTGCATAGTTATGTAAATATTTATGCTTTAATTGACTGAAATACCTATTATAATTCTGGTCGAAATTTTTCGATAATTATTTAAACCTGAAAAATAGTGTTAATTGTTCCTATATTGAATTTGCTTATTGATCGTGATTATTGTACAGTAAGTGAAATATCGCTGTTTTTGCTGGATAAGCTAGTATTTTTTTTTTTTTTTTTGATTAATGTATTTTACGGGATTTCCATGTCTTTAGATTTGGCCAGCAGTTTAATCGATCAGTGAATACACCGAATTCTTTTACAGTCTAGATGTTGTTAACTTAACTCTGCCGTCTAGTATGCAACAAAAAACTTACAAAACAATTTAAGTCTTTCATGTTTTTTAAAGCTTAAGAGCAGTATTCATTTTTGGAAAATGCTTCAATTTTATGTGTCAGTTGACATTATATGAATGTCGTTACCGAGTTTCCAATGAGCTTTTTAGTTGAAATTTGATGGGTTTTTTCGAGTGCGTTGTCAATCTCAAGATGGGCTGAAAAAAATTTAGTAGTAAGCATCACGCAGCACTGTTTACCATATTTACAATTATATGGAGAAAACTAACTGTCTCTTAGCAGTGTTCTAGGGCGAAAAACTTGGAATTATAAAATACTTAAAGTTCAGTCATTTATGGATAAATGTTTTTTTTGGATTGCTCCTGTGAGAACGCAGTAGCACAAGGCAGCAAAACACGGCAAACTTTTACATAAAACAATAAACTAGCTAAATTTATGAAATAAAAGAAAATAAGAAAAGTATGGAGAAATAGCGATATATTTAGATATTATGTTCTGACTAATCACTTATAAAACTGTAATCTATTTTCAACATACAATAAGGCGGCTTATAGTGTAAGTTTTTTCTGCGCCGTGAAAATATTTTCACCATTGTTCTGAGTAAACAGTGAACTATTGTCGGTTTACTGAACGATTTTCACTTGCTTAAAATTTTGACGATAAATTAACAGTGGTAAAAAGTAGTATTAGTTGAAATGGCCAATTCCCTCTGCCAAGCGAAAGAATCTTAAATCAATTTAAACTAGTAAAAGTGCGCTAACGGCAAGTCAGATAGCGGCAGAAAGTTTTAAAGCCACTGATCAAAAGATCAATTTTTATTTATTTATTAAATCTTAAAACCTCAGAAGCGCTTACATGAGAAGCAGAAAGCTTTTTAAATTTTTGTGAAAAGTAGTGCATCTGGATACTTTTAGATGTCACTAATTTTTTGCTATAGATACGATATGAATTATGTTACTGTTTAGCACTTAGTGGACTACGTTTGCTCTTTATCACTGTTTTTCACTACAATAATCATTTATTTGTAGTGAAAATTCCAGTATCATAGGATTTTTGCAACATTCCTTCATTAAACAATCGGGAATCATTAATCAAGATAGAAATTTAGGATGGTAAGACCGTAGTTTACTGCGCTGCTGGTATTAGTCGATCTGCGTCGTTATGTATTATGTATTTGATGAGAAGCGAAAATTTATCACTGAAACAAGCTTATCTTGACGTCAACAGTAAAAGGCCAATTATATCACCAAACCTTGGATTCTGGCAACAGATGATTGATTTTGAATTCAAACAGTTTGGTAGCAGAAGCGTTAATCTACTTAAGGATCGTGGACTAAAAGTTCCAGATGTGTACTTGACCAGGACTAGAGAGTTACCAACAAGTTGATATGTTAAAAATTTTTGCTTGTTCTGATTTTTTTCTGAATAACAACGTGTAATCTTTTTCCAACTCACGTATAGTCGTATTCAGAATTGAACAAAATGCAGAAAACGAACACTTCTCCTGCTTTTTCGCTTTTTGGAAAAGTACTTTTCGTCTGTTGTTCGTCTTTTGTATTATAATGCCAAAATTTTACTAATTTTAAGCTTTATTTATTTCTTTATCGAGGTAACAAATACATCTGTTGATAAACTGTTCTTGCTAAAGTAAGCTTAATTTTGGATGGGTAAAGTGAATTTTTCTGTTTTTTTGTTGCAGCGCTCTAAAACTGTCAGGTAAAGTTTTTATAAAGTGTTCAGTGGTTGTAGTCGTTCTGTACATATTAAAAAGTATATGTATTTTTTAGTCACTCTAATTATATTTTTGGTAAATACCACTGTTAACAGTAATGCTTGTTTTGTACTTATCGAAGCGGTTATATAAGACAAATTATTATCAAGTTTTAAACGATTGCAGGAAAGAAAGAAGGCGGAGAAAAAGAAAATGAGGAGAGAGAAAAAACTGAGCTATAAATCATAATTTTTTATCCACAGCTGCAGTTTTTTCTTTTTGTTATAGTACATGACAACGAACGTTGCTTCATAAGCTCTGTTTCGTTCAAATTTTTGTCAGTTGCATAGTTCCTAGCGTTTAGTGTATGCTACTTTCTGGTCATTCTTTTTGGTTGCTGTCATGCCTATATGAATCTTTCGAAAAGATTTTTTTCGATGGTTAAGTCCTATATTAAGCTTACCATTTAATCAATGACTTTACTATGGGTTGGAAAGTAAATGGAAAGTCAGTTAGGCATCTGTTTTGATAACAGTGTGAAATTCAATTAATATTCAGCAGTATTCAGCTTTCTTCGTCTGTGTGTATATATTTATTTATATTTAAATTTATAATTATGATTATATTTATATTTGTATTTATATTTATATTTATATTTATATTTATATTCATATTCATATTTATATTTACATTTATATTTATATTTACATTTATATTTATATTTATATCTAATGTTTATATTCATATTTGTGTAAATATTTAAACAGATCAAAACTATATGATAAAATGACGATGTATAATGAAAAGATAAAATTAATTTTCTTTTCAGCTTTTTGTTTTTCTCGCTTTTTGATTTTGTTTTTAACTATTTGATTAGTCTTTTTTTTTTGCAGTTTTTGATGAATTTATGGTTTTTACTATAACTACAATTTGTAGCAAGCAAAAAAAGCGAAACTCTGACGTCAACAGACAGTTGGCTTTTGCTCAGTGAATGAACGATGAAGCTAATCACTTGGAGAAGTAACATTTTTTTCATTTTTTTATTTGTTTATCGGTCATCTGTTTCGACATAAGGCTGTCAACGACGCTAAGGAATCTGGCTGTTCCAATTGTTAAACAAATAAAACTTTGATTTGCCAGTTAGGCTTTTCAGTACTTTGACAGGTTTAATCTGAATCCGGTGTCCTTTCTGTCGTTTAATTTTTCTGCTCAAGTATTTCGTTTTTTCTCTTAAAGATTATGCTGCAATATGAAGGGAACAGCACCAAAGAATTATTTGTTTTGCAGGTGCTATCTTGCGGAATAGGTGAATATAAAAGACCTTGGTTTAACCTGTGTAGATCAAGACAATATTTTCCTTTTCCTCCTTTATTTTTTTCTTTTTTGCCTTTTTACTCTGTCAATTTCCCTGATTCTATATTTCAAACTTTGATCAAACTGTTCTATAATATTATTTTTGAAATCTATTTAACTTTTTTTAAGTAAGCTGTATTGTAAATCAGGTTTTTCAGTCCACAAAAAAATGTATATAATTTGTTTTAAAGTAAAATAAGAAAAAGTTTTAATTATTGCGTATTGTTACGTATACACATAAACGTATATATCTGTTAATGTTCTCGCTTATTAGGAACCTTTATTAGAGCCGAATGCTAATTATCTAGAGGTTTTAGCTATTTCTGTCTAGTTGCAAAGGGCTAAAATAATTGATGAAAGTTGGGAGAAGAAAAAAAAGAAGAGAGGATGAAAAGGAGAGTTGTAAGTCAAGTGCGAAGGAATTTGAGTAAAAAGTTTAGACACGTTAGCTATGAAATATTAGTTATTATTGAAAAAATGGAACAGGATTGTGTAGGCCCTTTATTCGTTTTATTCAGTCAAATTGGAGTGCACTAGTGGAAGTTGTTCGGTTACTGCTCTAAATGATTGCAAATGTATTTGCTTTTGTAATTAGCTTTTAAAATATTACCACTTTTGACTATTTGACTTTTATGTTTGCAAGTTCAGCGACATTAACTGCAATTTTTCGGTGGGTGTTATCGGTTACGAAAAAGAGTATCGCCTGTTGGGTTCTGATTCATATGTAATCTTCTTTTTTTACGAGAGTAATTTGGGGGTAGTTTAAGATAAAAAATACTGCGAAAAAATATAATAATTTTAGAATTTTTATCTTTCTTTCTGATTGGAAAAAATTAAGGAATTTAAAAGTAAGGATAGAACTGTTTAATACTTGCTGGACAGAACAGATCATTTGTAAGTGGCCGAAAACGTCTGATTGTTTATGTCAACGTACTAGTGTCTTATTTTTCTTGATTTTTTCAACTTAAATACATGATAAGACTATACAATTTGTTTTACGAATATTCATGACTATCAGAAAACAAGGAATCGAACGTCATTTTTTAAAGATCGTATTAATAAAGTTCCGTGTTTTTATAAAGTACTTTGCTTCATTAAAAATGCATTAGTGTGTTAAGCAAACCTGAGCAGTTGCGTTTTAAAAACTTTGTTTTTGAATTTTTCTTTTTACTTTAGGTATCTTTTTAGTTTTACCTAATTGGGTTCTGAGTCTTTGCTGCGTTTTTGAAGGCTTTCTTTATTTCTGCACTATCAAATTTGATCTTGGTTCTGTTCTGCCAATTTAATTTTTAAATTCCCTTCTGCATTTTCAATAGTTAACTGTTGCTTAAAGGTTTTAAAAGAAAGGTCTAAACTACATTTGTGAGAGTCCTTGAAAGACGCAATTCAGTCTCTTTAATGGAGTAAATAACAAAAGAGAGATTTTTTGTCATAATTTTTGCTTGGAAAAAAACAGCGTAAAAAAAATTTTTATTTTTTCAAGATTTTTGGCTCTTTTAAAATTTTTTAATGCTTTCTGTAGCAAAATTTTTGTCACTTTTCAGTAGCGGCACTCAGTCATACGATGATGGAAGGGGGAAAAAATTGATTGACGCGTACCAACAAAGGAGGTAACGTATGATGCATTGACTTTTTCAGCTGTATGTCAAATAAGTTTGCTGCGCCTAAACAGTGTGTAAAATGACGTACTCAAAAAATTGACATTTTGAAACTTTTTAAGGCTAATTTGCTAAACTGAATTTCACCAACTTTAGAATTTGTTTTTTTCGCTTGATTGCCGTATTCAATTAATGTACTATAACGTTATTGCTTTTTGGATGAATAGCCCACTTAGATTGTTCTTTGGCAAAAAGACTGAAATTTACAGTACAATTATTAAGACTTTTCTGGTTGTTTTCAAACACATATACTCAAACACATTTTGAAAGTTAATTTTGTTATGAATTAGGAATTATTTGATGATTCATAACCGACATCAAAATGTGGTAACAAAGTTTGTCATTATTCAGTGTAACAATCAATTCACCGTTCGGCAAACTTTCTTCTGCAAACTGCATTCCTTCTTCAAAATGGTGCAGTTTCAGAAAAAAACCAATATTAATAGTCTTTTCCCACATTGTCAAAAATCTTTTTGCTGCTCTTCTCCACCGACAGTTTGTTAAACGTGATTTCAATAGCTAAAAATATAATTTTTCAAGTATCAGTCATGTGTTTTGCTTTTCTTCTTTCACTTATTGACTTACTGCACATTGTCGTATCTTGACGTCTCTTTTCCTCTCTTTTTACCTCTATTTTAGCATTTTTTGGCAGGGTGTTGTTTAAATAGAGCACTTTTTTGCTGTAATAATGGAGAAGAAATGAGTAAAAGAAAAAATTTATTTTTTTTTTCTGTTGGGGAAATGCGGGTTTAGAAACGTTTGGGACATCAAAGAATTTAGTAGTGAAAACTTGGTTGAGAAGGCGGAAAAAATAGCGATCATAAACCGTTTTTCAATGTAAAATTGAAGTTAGGAAACGAGGTAGGTTTTTCAGTTTTTTTTGGAAATTTTTGTCTTTTGGTTTGTTGGGATTTGATACGTTACTTTTTTGCTGTTTTTCAATGTCGCTGTCATTACAGTTACAGGCTTCTTGTATGGCATATTTTTGCAGCTTTACAGGTATAATAATATACTGTTAACATCATATCCTGTTTATTTAGATTCTAAAGTAACACTATTTATTTTCACAAGTTATTAAATTTGAGTAAGGAGAATTGGTAAATAGGATAAAAAGTTTTCAGAGGTCAGGAGGAGGTAAGGTAGTGTGATACAACCAGAGACTAAAAAAAGAAGAGTTCTAAGAAGACAGTTAACAAGAGGGATAAAGTGTTAGCTAAAATTTTTTTTGGAAAGTTAATAGTATATGAAGTGAGTTTTGCCGGTTGCTTTTTAAAGAGCATAGAATTTTTTCTTTTTTGTTTTTTGTTGTTAGTCTTGTCTACGGCTAATCAATGTATTATGGGAATGATATTTAGTGGTGATGGGCTGTGATGTTGGCACCGATAAAGATTATAATGACAAATATTATTAAAAATCTTGATTTAAGTTTGTGAAGTGTTGAAAGAACAACTGACTGATTCACGCTCTAAGCGGGTAAGGTCAGTTGGAGAAAAGCGGCTCATATTCAGTCATTTTTGTCATTGCCTTAATCAGCATTTCTTTGGACTTTTAAATGAGTTTCCGGCTTTTGGTCTTGATTGCTCTGAAACACTGAGCATTTAGTTGCTTGATTAGTTTGTATGCTTCTGTACCAACTATGGAGCATAAATAAATAAAACGTTGAGT